GCCGAACTACAGAACTGCAGTCAGCTGAAGTGGCCTGCAGTGCTGCATTTAACCACTGCGCCACCTTGGCTCTTAATATGTATTAACTTAGAACAACATTTAGGAGAGCTTCAATAATTTCGCTAAAGTAGCTGAAGCTACATTTGGAATGTATCAAGTGCTGAAGCTTTGCTTTTTTTTAAAACTTGGTATTTAAAAGCGATTTATTTCACAGAAAATTGCTTTCTTAAATTTACAGGCCTGGAAACAGTAAGAATGGAAAAGAGCGTTCAGATCCTCAGCATCTGCGTCAAGAAAATTCTGATGCAGTATGGAATGAACTGGCATACTTTAAAAAAGAACACAAGAAGCTGTTGGTTGAAAAGTGAGTCTTTTTATTTTATTTCAAAATTCCTATACATTTAGAAATGTGGGGTTGATATGCTTATCTTCTCCTTGTAGAATCCTGAGGGCCAAAAAGAGAATTCCTTTCAGATACTCAAAATTAAATCATCTTTCTCTACCAGAAACAGGGAAGCAAAACATTAGCCTCGTCTTACTCCCCCTCCCTCCATATCCCACCCTTAAATCAACGACAATAAGTTTGCTAGCACTAAATGAAACAGTATTGCATGAGCTAGGGATTGTGTTAATTAATGTGGCTCTCATCTGTTGGAGGTGTCGCTCTTCATTAGCCTGTATTTTACACACTGCCGTGCTTCATTTTTGGAATGAGGTGGTAAGGGGATAACCTAGCCAGCCATCCTTGTTTGATCTCCTTGATACATACGCAATGCAGAATGCCTCAGCTCTCTTGGTTCCTTGCCCTGTCCTACTAATCCCAGCTGAGCTCATTATGGTGTAGCCTTGCTGCTACTCTTGGAGCCAGAGCTGTCCAAGCTAATTACTGGTAGCAGCAAAGCCGCCTGTTAAAGGTCTGGAGTAGATCTGCTAACATGGGCCTTCAGAGTGACCTGCAAAAAGCACGGGGGAGTTGCTCTCTTTCTTGCTGTGCACAGCCTGTCCTTCGGGTTTAGTGCTGATCCCTTTCACAGCTCTTTTAGCTGCGGTAAGGGTAAAACTTGGTGAAGGAATTCTTACTTTAGAAAACATCCAGTTTGCTTCTTTGATCTTATAATTCATAGACAATTATATTCACCCTGGTAAAGTAAGAAGTTTCCCTTTCATACAAGACAAAAGGAAGTTGGTTGGCATTGCATAATTAGCCTTTTAATGATGTTTTAAAATGTCCTTTGTCAAGTTGATTTTGTAATTTAGCGATGAGCATGCTTGAAACTCGGAACAGTTTTCTGTTCTTTTGAGACATCCGTGTAATGCTCAGGCTTGTGCCTACATTTTTAAAGCAATCAGAATATTAGTACAATGGTGGAATTTTAAAGATTGCTATTCATTTGGCTGTTAGAACTACCATAATAAAATCAATTTCATAACATCATATGGTTTATTTTTGTGTCAATTATGACAATGAAGAATTTTGAGTACAAAATCATGGTATGGCATAGTCCATGTGGATATTCTATTCTGGCAATATGTTTTGGACAGTGCATTATTCTGATATATTTTTTGAGATCACGTCCA